CTTGACACTGTAAAAACAATAAATGATTTTATTTTTATTGTTATTATTGAAATATGCCAGCGTAAAGTTCAGTGGTTCTTCCTTAACTCTGCAGTAATCAATAGTTGATTGATTGATTGATTGATTGATTGATTGAGCTTTATTTTTACTGGTCGTAATTTGAAACAGATGCCAATCGGCCACTTCTGCGAATAGGGCGAACATCCGTGGCCCTTCTAAATATCAGACTTCAAAAGTACTTTGAGAAGTCCGACGACTTGATTGTTGCCATTTCAGCAGTTTGATTACCAATATGATCAGTTCGCTTACAGCATGGGCGGTTCAAATGCTGCTACAACCAGATTATTTTTTTTTTAAATATGGTATGACGATTTGCGCCCATAGAGCAGGCGACATACAACTTATGCGATTTTCAATAAAAAATCTTTTGCAATTAAACTTGAAAGCTGAAGTACTGTTTTAGACAGCGGAGAGACTCGTACATGAGTCCAAGTCTTTAACAAAGTGGTAAATTTTGAAAAAAAACGAACGCTTCCTTCTTTTCTGGTGTGTTCCTTCGCAACTCACCACATAGGTAAAACAAAGTCACTTATTAATAAAAAAAGAGGCTGCGAAAAGCTTAAGTGGACAAGCTTTTAGTAACTGGAACAAATTTAGGCGGAACTGGTGATCAACCTGCTCTAAATGTACGTCTTTCATAAAAAGAAAAAGAAGCGTTCCACTTAAAACCGTTTGTACCGCTAAAGATTTGCCAGGAATTATTCGAAATTAGTGGAACGCCAGCCTTGTGCAAATTTTAGCTGGAATGTAAGGGGAAGAAGATTAAGAATGTGTAGATGCCTCATGCTTTGAAAGTGCGTTGAAGACGGTTCCGTGTTTACCGGGATTGCGCCACTTCTATAATCCTAAATAATACTAATGGCGCGCCTAAATTATACTCGAAGTGTCTACGGTTGCTTAGAGCGTACTTGGAGTAGGCTAGTAGTTATATGATCTAAACGTTCTTGGCAAGTATACTGGGATCATGGAACGGCTCCCGCATGCCATTTACTACTACTCTACTTTTTGTAATATTCAATTATACTCCCTGCCATACAGTACACTACAAGTATGTCGAGTATACTTTTATTCCGCTTTTTTTCACTAAGGGAATGAGGGTGAGACTGAAACGACTACGTCACATATATCACCACAACATCAGACGCTCCAGTTTTTGAATTGTGATGGAAAGGCCGATGGCTATAATCAAACTTGTTGCATTTTCACGCATTGTTTCAAATGAGTTAGACTTTAAGAATGGCTCTATTCGAAGCTGCAATCGCAATATTCGCCATTAAACCAATAAAAATAACAAATTTTGGTAATTAGTCATAAAATAAAATAAATGAAAACTATTCTGTGGCGTTTATCCATTCATCTCATGTACACTGGGCTCACTTATATACGACATACACATATCTATCGCTTCCTTTTTTCTAAATAATGCTGTTAAAAATAAAGGAACACCCTTGTCAGAATAATTAAGCACCCTTCCAACACCCTTCCAGCACTCAGCACCCCTCACAATGAATCGGAAGGGTGCTCGTGCCCATTCACCCTCGCGCTCGTCGTGAGGGGTGCTAACCCCGCAAAAGAAGGATCCTGGACGGCTAAGTGAAGGGTGCAAACCCCCTGCAGCACCCCTAAAGGGTGCTGTAGCACCCTTAAAGGGTGTAAAAACGTTAAGTGTGTGTGCTGTCAAAGCCACTGGCGGGAGGGAGAGGAAAACTGTTTTTGTGTGAATTTAGAGTGTACTGGCTAACCTCCAAAGGGGAGAAAAGTGACGTGGAGGTTCACAAAAGAGTGTACAGGTAAAAGGGGACTTCTTCGTCCCTCTCCTTCGCAGCTGCTCGGGTTACGCTCTCGACCCTCCTGGTTTGCTGGCGCTGCGCACAAATAGCCTGCAAGTAAGAAAACAAAGCTGTGAGCACCTCTATCTCCTTCTTTCACCCCATAAACTGACAGTTTGGGGTAGAAGCACTATGGTTCGTCGGACAGCGTAACGCGCTCGCCTGACCTACCAGTCACTTCTGTTTCAACACCTCATCCCGCTCCCTACGCGTGGATATGGGCGACAGCGTCATCATGCAGTGAAATGCAGGGCCCTCTAAACAAAAGTATGCAGGGTTTGCTTCGCCGCAAAAATAAACTATTCGTCGCCGAAGACTTGTTTCCTGCCAAAAGGTAGCGCTAGAGGTCCGAAACAGGTACCAAAGTTTCAGCCCGAACCGATATCTTATCCAAGGTTTATATGCGATTCTTTGAAAATGCCCGTTGGAAAATGGCGGCAGAAGCAACTCTCGAATACATGGGGCTCTATGGTGCCAGAAACCAAAAAAGGCCAAAAATGGGTTCCATTTTTCTACTGGAACTTGTGGGGCGCTCGGCCCGCCACACGGCGGCCAAACCGGCGACTAGCGGGGGGGCGGCACCCGGCGCCGACAGGGTAGAAAAGGGATGGCCCGTGTGGCCGAGGGCAGTGGTTGCCCCGAGTCTGGACCAGAGTCATGGTAATAAACCCTGTTTGACCCCGAAGAACGAGTCGTCTGGTTGATCGCCTGCGGCGGACGGCGGAAGGCGAACGCCACATCTGGCGCCCAACGTGGATTCTGTCGTCCGTCGTCGGTGATCTCGACCAGACGGTTCGTCCTCCCTTACTTCAACTTTGCATTTCTTAATTTCTTTTCGGTCGTTGATTCGTCGCGGTTCGCGTTTTTCATTTTTTCTATATCGCGTCGTGTTTTTCTTATTCATTGTGACTTTTTGCGCGCTCGCCTTTCACCGCGGTCTGCACGTCGCTGACGGTGCGGTTTTCTTGGCGTAGTTTGTTGGCGCGTTTTTTTTTTCTTCCCTCGTGTTCGCGTGTGCTGTTTTTTTTCCCTTGTCGCGCGTTTTTCTTTTTTCCATGCCTCCCAAGAAACAGTCCCAGCCCCCGTCCGACCACGGCGACTCCAGCGAAGAAGACGCGGAGCCCGGTCCGTCGTCGGCTGAGGTCCTGGCGCTCATGGCCCGAATGTCCGCCACCCTCCAGTTGGTGACGGAGCGCCTCGCAACCGGCACGGGAGGAGCCGGCGGCCATGTGCAGCAGCGTGGGCCCGAGCTTCACCCTCGGCTCACGGTCCCCGTGTACACGGGGTTCGACGACAGGAAGTCCGTCGCCGACTTCCTGGAAGAGCTGGACGTCTACGCCCGAGCGTCCGGCGCCTCGGAGAGCTACGTGCTCGAGCGCATCCTGCCCCTCGCCTTACAAGCGAGCGCGAGACGATGGTGGGTGTTGCAAACTCCTTTTCCGTCCCTAGAGGCGTTCCGCCGTAGCTTCCGAGAAGAGTTCCTGCCACCGGGGTACGACTCCCGAGTCCAGCGGGAGCTCGAACGACGTACCCAGCATCCAGAGGAAGGCCTCGTCGAATACATCCGGGCCATGCAGGAGCTGTTCAACCGAGCGGCGAAAGCTGCTCCCGAGTCGGAGAGGGTTGCACGCATCATCCGACAGAGCCACCCCCGTTACCACGTCTATCTTCAGGGGCGGCGGTTCGAGAGCGTGGAAGACCTCGTTCGTGCGGCGCGCGGCGTGCAAGACATGATCCTGGCCAGCGTGGACTACCGGCCGCCGCCCCCCGCCACAGAAGCCCTCGAACCATCGTGCGCGTGGTCGCCACCTGCACGCACCGCCCTGGAACGCACCCCTCCGACTCACCGCCCACCCGAAAGGGTCGGCGCCTACGCCTACTTGCCCCGCGCCCTGGACACCCTTGAGTGCACTCGGGATGGCGACGGGAGGCTCGGTGCTGCATCACCGGCTGGGGTCAGCGTGAGCTTAAATTCCCGACCGAGGGAAGCCCCAGGCGCCTGGGATTGGTCCCCCCAGGGCCCGCACTTGGGTGGAAGCCCGCCGCGGGTGCCGCGAAACCCCGAGAGGGGCCGGCTGCAGTTCCCGGACAGCGAAAGCTGGCTGCATGACCCTCGGCGAGATCTTCAGATGGCCGAAAGGCCCCAGCGCCAGCCGAGAGGCGGCTGGCAACGTGGGAATGACCCGGCGGAGCCGAGAGGCAGCCGGCGACGTGGGAGTGAACGGGGCAACGTGGGAACCCAGCGGCAGAATGACTCCTGCTACAACTGCGGACAGCGTGGCCACTTCCGCAGCCAGTGCCCACAACGGCGGCCCCGTGAGCAGCGAGAACTGCCTGACCAGGGAAACCGAGGCGGCCCGCGGCGCTGAACCCGGAGACCTCGCCGCCCAAGGCCGCCACCAGCCCCGGGAAATGTAAGTCGCCGGCAATACTTCCTTCTGTATGTCGAGTACGACCTACGAACCACAGCATCGAGCCTAGGATAACGATTTCTCTGCTCGGAGTTCTTTTCGCCGCCCTGTTCGATACCGGCGCGGGAGTTTCGCTTATCGGCGACGTCGTTTTTGAACTCTGCAAATCAAAAAATGTTAAGCTCCGTTGTTCGAGCACGCTTTTGCAGTTAGCGTCAGGCGCGCAAACAAAAGCAGCAGGCGCAGTAAGGCTGAGGATTTCTTTCGACGGAAAAACGCGGCGTCAGCGTTTCCTTTATCTGCCAGGATTGGCCGTACCTGTTATCTTGGGCCGAGATTTCATTGCAGACGAAAAAATTTCGCTCGACTTTGCTGCCGGCGGGTATCGGCTGGACAACCAGCCACACGTGACCCCCTTCACCAGACGTGAAGACTGCGTCACCGGCGCAACCCTTCCGACCCACTACACAGCGCGGCCAGCTGCAGTTCTTCCTGATGTCATCCAAGACGCCCTAAACGCGTGCCCAGCAACCAGCTCGCAAAAGCAGCAGCTCGAGAGCATCCTGCAGCCGTTCGCAACGATGTTCACGGAAACCCCGGGCAAGACCGACGTGTTGCTACACCGCATCGAGACTGGTGACGCCCGACCACTGCGGTGCAACCCTAGGCCCCTCAGCGTCCACAAGCGAGCACTACTAGACGCAGCACTACAGGAGATGCTGGATACCGGAGCAGTGCAAGAGTCCCAGAGTCCATGGGCCTCCCCCGTCGTCTTGGCTCCGAAGAAGGACGGCTCGGTACGACTTTGCGTGGATTATCGCCGCCTCAACGCAGTGACGGTGAGAGATACGTACCCCTTTCCTTCCATCGACTCGGTTATGTACGCGATTGGCAACGCGAAAGTGTTCACCACTCTTGACTGCAGTCGAGGTTTTTTGCAAATTGAGATTGATCCAGAGGACGTGCCAAAGACTGCGTTCACTTGCCACAGAGGATTGTTTGAATTTACCCGCCTCCCCTTTGGCCTTTCCAATTCACCCGCTAGCTTCCAGCGCTTAATGGATATCGTTCTCGGCGACACAAAATATAAATTCGCCATGGCATACATGGATGACATCGTTATTTTTTCCCAGACTTTCGAGGAACACCTGAAGCATCTTGGGATCGTCCTCGAGCGCCTGCGCAACGCCGGCCTGACGATTCACCCTGACAAGGCGCAGCTCGCTTCACCACAAATTAACCTCCTTGGCTTTGTAGTGGACAATGGAGTCCTTCGCCCCAACGAGGACAAGCTGCGTGCAATAGCAGAGTATCCGCAGCCACACGACGTCAAGAGTTTGCAGCGGTTTCTTGGATTGATTGGGTTTTATCGCCAGTTCATCCCTCGCTGCGCCGAGATCGCTAACCCCCTGACCTTGCTCTTGCGCAAAGGCGAGAAATGGCGGTGGGGGGAGGATCAGCGCGTCGCTTTCCTTCAGCTCTCGAAAGCAATTACCGACGTCGCCTCTTTGAAGTTGCCGGATCTCAACCGACAATTTGTCGTCCAAACAGATGCCAGCAACTTCGGCCTGGGCGCAGTCCTCCTTCAGGAACACGACAACGTTCTTCGCCCAGTCGCCTTCGCTAGCCGCACGCTGACAGCGGCCGAGCGAAACTACTCCGTGACGGAAAAGGAGTGTCTCGCCATCATCTTCGCCCTCAAGAAGTTTAACATGTATCTCGATGGCGCTTCCTTTCAGATACAGACGGATCACCAAGCGCTCTCCTGGCTGAAGAATTTGCAGAATCCAGCCGGACGTCTTGCACGATGGGCTCTGACACTGCAAGCGTACGACTACACTATCGCCTACAGGAAAGGAGCAACTAATATTGTGGCAGATGCACTGTCACGGGCTCCTTTGCAGGTCCCTCCCGCTGAGACGGAACCGAAGTTGGTGGGATTAACCGACATCGTGGCCCGCACTTCGGAGTCACGGTGGGGGACGTTGGTGAGCAGAGCAGACCTCCGCAAGGCCCAGCAGGAAGATGGACTTTGTCGACGCGTGTGCGAGAGGCTTGCGGCACGAAGAGCAAGCGGCACCGGAAGCGACGACGAGTCCGACTCGTACCTGCTGAGCGAGGACGGACTTCTTCTCCGCTACATCCCCCAGGCAGACGACGACAGCGATGGATCGCCTTTCCGGATTGTGATACCTCGGAAGCTGCGCAAATCATTCATCAGGTACTTCCATGATTCAGCATTAGCGGGTCACAGCAGCGGCAGTAAGACTTACGATAAGTTATGTCGTGTTGCGACTTGGCCAGGAATCAGGCAGGATGTACTGAAGTATGCTCGCAGTTTTCCAGTGTGTCAGAAGGCGAAACCTCGCGGAGGCCAACCACCAGGATTAATGCAGCCAGTCGTTAGCCAATCGCCTTGGCAGATTGTCGCATGTGATGTCATGGGACCGTTTCCACGTAGTCCTCGCGGAAATCAGTACCTACTTGTTGTGACCGACCACTTCACCAAGTGGGTCGAACTGTTCCCCTTACGGAAGCTTCTTTCGCAGCGCATCTGGGACTGCCTTCTGTCCGTTTTCACGAGATTCGGCTTTCCTGCAGAGCTCATCACGGACGGTGCTTCGTACTTTCGAAGCAAGATTTTCATCGACACCTGCGCTGCGCTTGGAATATGGCACAAGCTGACTTCGCCGTATCATCCGCAAGCCAACATCACGGAGAGGATCAACCGCAACCTCAAAATGATGTTGATTTCCCACACAGCCCGTCACAAAGACTGGGATGCCAAACTCGACGAGATGGCATTTGCAACGCGCACCACGGTCAACCGATCCACTGGTTTCACGCCTGCCCGTCTCAACTTTGGTAAGGAGCTAACCTTCCCAATGGAAAATTCATTTCTATACACAGATGTTGCGCAGAATGGACGCCCATACGCGCAGTTCGCCCAGGACGTCCATCACCGACTCTCGTCGGCCGTTCGTGAAGCGCGAGAGAACCTCGACGTCGCTCGTCTTCAACAGGCCACCCAGTACGACAAGGGCCGCCGCAGTGTCCACTTTCAGGTTGGAGACCTGGTACTTCGTCGGACACATCCCCTCAGTGATGCGTCGAAAGGCTTCGCAGCATCCCTCGCCAACCGTTGGGATGGACCCTTTCGCATAACGGAAACAGTTTCCCCGCTGAGCTACCGCCTAGCACGACTGCATGGTACACAGCAGTACGGCCCAATTCACGTGTCTGAGCTCAAGCGTTACTGCGAGCCAGCAGTTTTTCCGCAGGTCCCGGACATCCGCGCTCCCAGCCAGCCCTTGGACCACGGAACTACGCCCAGGCGGTACAACCTACGCCCTCGGTGACTCATCACCTGTTCTATTCATATCCTTTTTTTGGCTGGCTGCGTCTCTTCGCGGAGAGGGGGGGAGAGGATCCATCTCCTTCCCGCGGGTTTGCCCTTTGTTTTCACAAAGGGATTGTTCTGTTCGCGAGTGTCTCCGAACATGTTTGACGTATCACAACCAGACCCGTTAATTCGTCCTTTTTCTTCGTGTGCCCGTTCTCTCTTTCCTCCGCAGGATCGTCACTGCCACCAAGAGCGTTCCCGCCACGCCTATCATTTCAGGCGATTGGCGGCACGCTTCCCGCCGCGCCGTGAGCGTGCCTCCGTCGCGACTTGGACTGTGCTGGTAGAGGACCGCCCGGTGGGCTGGGCCTCAGCGCTACGCTGGAGGGAGCAGCCCCGGCCCGAGCGTGGCGCGCCCCCGGAGTCCGTCCCCGAGCCTTTCCGGGGCAACACGCTGGAGGACCGGCACCCGCACGAGCCCGCGGCCGTATACAACGAGGCGGAGCGCCGCCTGCTGTGCCCCGTCTGCGGGGTGCCGGAGCTCCACCGCCCCACCCACCTGGCGGGCGCCTTGCACCAGGCCCGCGTCGCGGCGGACTGGGCTCGCCGAGCCGCGCCACCTCCTGCTGCACCTCCGGCAGCCCCCCGCCCGTTGGAGGTCGCGGAAGCCATCCGGATCCTCCGCCAAGTCCGCCCGGATCTGCTCCGCGACCCGGCCCACGAGGAGGCCATCTTAGACCTCGACCTCCACACCTCCCTCGAGGTCTCTCGACCTCGAGGGAGGTGTGGGGCGCTCGGCCCGCCACACGGCGGCCAAACCGGCGACTAGCGGGGGGGCGGCACCCGGCGCCGACAGGGTAGAAAAGGGATGGCCCGTGTGGCCGAGGGCAGTGGTTGCCCCGAGTCTGGACCAGAGTCATGGTAATAAACCCTGTTTGACCCCGAAGAACGAGTCGTCTGGTTGATCGCCTGCGGCGGACGGCGGAAGGCGAACGCCACAAACTTTCACAAAATCACTTATAACTTTTGAATAAGATATAAGTTCGAGCTGGAGCTTTGGCATCTGGTTTGGACCTCTAGCGCTTTTCGGGTGAAAAAAGAGCGTTCAGCATTGCATTATTATTTCTGCGCTAAAAAAAAAAGAAAATAAAATATTTGGTCGGGACATCCCGTATATATGCATGAAGCGCCAAACAAGAAGCACGGTCTCAGCTTAGGAATGAACAGAGTGCGCGAAGAACTGTGGAGCCTACGGTGAGGGAAAGCCAGGGAAGCCAGTTTTGTTTACATTTTGAGTGACAGGCTAAAATCTCCGAGGGGATCAAAACGACTCTTGGAACGCAGACGCACGGAAGAAAGCAGTCCTGTGGTAATGCACGATATAGTCACCGCGATGGCTGCGACATGTCACGTGACGGCGGTGAGTTGTCGGGCATAGGTTCGCATTCATGCCCTTCTCTGGTCTTACCCGAATTCTGAGCCAGTGAAGAGGGCGTTGAGGAGCTGCGGAAGGGACTGTGATAATTCATTTATTTCTCTCGCATAAAGGGGGGGAGGAATAGTGAAAAGCTGACTGGCGGCAGCTTGACGGGACCATGTCGCCCCCTCCCCCCCCCCCCACACACACACAGTTGAAGACAGTGGTAATCAAAAACTGAAAAGAAAGCAACACAAGCGCTACCTAATTTCAAATAAAAATTTCAAATAAATGAATATATGGTTAAATCTAACAGTACACAGAAGAAACAAAAGATCTATTTTATACTTACATAAAAATTGTACATTTGGAAATCACAGCACATTTTATGTCTATCAAATCCGCTTGAAAACATTGTATGCAACCGGAACATATATGTATCTATATAGGCTCCCATAAACTCCAAAAAGCTATAAAAAAAAACAAGGCAGAAAAAATTTTACGTAAGAGATCTTTGATTTCGAAAAAAAGTGCGAAACAAATGAGTGTTGTTCGCTATATGGCCATTTAGACTTTTTGGCAGTAAGTATTCGAGCATTTTGATTCTCTTTTTTTTTTCTGCATACATTCCCCTTCCAGTATTCTATTTGACGGGTTTTAAAAGAATGGTTATGTCTGGTTAATAAATACAGGGATGTTAAATTCCGAATGTTTCGTATCGGTAAAGATAAAAAGCTGTGGCTGGGCCCACAAGTACAGATATTGAAAATGTTTATAATAGCAAGTTCCTGAAATAAATGCAAGGGATGGGAATCATGAGTAGCACTACAATTGTACCGTACAATTTTCTCTTGGACTATATGCAATGTTTCTATTTTTGTATCCGTTGTTGCGCCCCAGACAAGATGGAAGTACCTGAGATGTGAGTATAACAGGAAGTTAAAAAGCAATAGTTTAAGCTTTACTGGAAGTATTAACCTATGGCATCGTACCAGTTCAACAATCCCGGTAAATTTTGACGCTATATATCCTACATGGTGGTTGCAAGTCAAATGCCCCACAAATATAATTCCTAGAGTTATAAAATATTTTTAATATCAATAACAGATGAATTACTAGCGCGGACCCAGTGCAGTACTTTTTGCATTATATTAAATATCAGAAGGTGAATATGTCTCGCTTATAAATAAGATAAAGACATAGGATCATGCAGTAGGTATTTGATGCCCCTGGAAAAAAGCAGGTACGAGTGAAATAGATTTATAGTTAATGAGGTAGGTCTTATCCCGCTTTTTGTATTTTGTAGAATACCGCGCATCCGCCCATTCCGCTCTAGGTGCCCATTTCCAAACTTGTAATATCTGGAAATATATGCACAGTACATTGATATGTAAAATGAATGACCGGACAAGTGCCCATCGCCCATTTTTTCGCGATTTTCTTGAAATTTGGGGTGCGTGCTTGCCGGGTGCTTTACGGTAAAACCGACACTTTAGCCATTTGCATACGTTTGGGAAACACACTTGTTTCAAGACTGTGGGCAAATATGTGCGATACGCAAGGCGCTATTAGATGAATGACGAACTAAAAATAGCAGCAGCACTGACTGATATAAAATTTAAGTGCAACCAGTAACCCGGGCGAACTTGAATATTATCACAGTCAGTGATGCTTCTAGTTTCAGCTGCATAAATTTAGTGATCACCTCAGCATAATGTGTGGCAATTAATAAAGCTGAATGTCTATTTTCAAGAGTGGAAGGCATAGCGGCGGCGTTACTTGTGATAGATATGACTTTGTCTTGATTATTTACGAAAACGCTATTGAACTCACTGGCTAATGACATATCACTTAGTTGCTGTCTATCCATTAGAAGTCCCTGGATCGGTGCCGGTGGCAAATTTCGACTCAGTACGGAATTAATTTCGTTTCAAGTAATTTTGCTAATACTACCGGGAGAAAAATATATTTCTCAAAACTCTTTGCTTTTGGACAGCGTAATATTTCGTTTAGTTTGCTACGAAAAGTCATGAACGCCTCAAAGGCGTTAAGATCTCCTGATCTTAAAAAAACATTTGACAATGCACGTCTTTCATACGCTAAATATTAAGTTGTGCTTTCCCGCTATGCAATTAAATAAAGGAAGGTGGTGGCTTGTTTTATACGTTATAATTCCCAATTTGATCTTTATAAAATAATAGTTCGTAAAAAAGAAATCAATGAGAGTCTGGGTTGAGGCTGTAATACGTTTTGGCTCACCGATCACGTTAAGGCGTCCGTTGAATTTTATAATAAGATTCATTTCTCTTTTCATGCTGGTATCACCTTACATATTAATATTAAAATGTCCGCCAAATATTACGTTGTATTTGCCTTCAATCACAAAGGCCAAAAACGCTTCGACAAAATCTAAGAATATAATATATTTACTATCAGGAGACCAATATATAACACAGACATTCTTTTTTTTTTTTTTTAGCGGAGCATTGTTACGTTTTCGGCGGTAAGACGACGGAACGGCTGTCGAAGGAACAGACAGACTCTCTCTCTGCTGTAAGAACGATCTGTCTTTATTATAAAAGCAAATCAGCTTTTATAATAAAGATAATAAAGATAATAATAAAGATAATAAAGATAATAAAGATCCCGTATCCAATCAGGAACGGACAAAAAACAAAAAAGAAATGCAATATCGCGCCCCATCAAGTCATCTTATCAGGAAGCGAAGCGTAGCATAGCACCACAATTGTTACAGCATTAGTATTTCCTAGCCTTGACTTTCGCATGTAAATTTTGACAATATTTCACAAGTTATTTAAGCTTTTTCATGCATAGAGACACCTCATCCCCACCGCGTGCTTTGATTAAGGCAAGAATTGTTATAATCCCGCAACGTGAAGGCACCCGAGTCATCGTTATACCATGTTTCCGACAGCACTATCGCGTCAAAGCTAAAATTACATTCATTAAAAAAGTTTCTAGGTCGTCATATTTGTTCCTTGCTGACTGGCAGTTTAAGTAGAAACACGTAAAATAATATTTTTGTTCATGCTGTAGATAAGATATGAGCACAGTAGGGAGCATATACTGAGTCTTATCCATCACTGATAATTGGCTCCTGCTCGCTCAAAAACTTCTGATTTTAATTTGTTCTTTTTCTTTTTCACATTCGCCATGCTAGCAACATGGATCGCAACATCCTGATTATCTTCACGAGAAAAGATCTTTCCGCCAGATGGCGAGACAAATTTTCAGCCTACGGTATTCTTTTGTGCAATTGCACAACCCAGGAGCCTTTTGTTTGAACTTGTTACTTGCTCATTCACGTAGATATGGCTGCACTGTAGCCGTAATCGAGGTCTTTTGTTGTCATCGTGTGCTTTTTGCCCGTTTACAAGCTTTTTCTGGGTAGAACGATACAGTAACCTCTAAAATGAGTCGATGACCATAACCTGCCCTGCTGTAGTCATGATAAAATCTAGTAAACGTAATAAAAAGAAACAAACATTAAAGGTTGGTTTTCGCGGCGCTCATGCACAGGTGATGCAAAGCGGCTATACTCGGAGTCAACTATTTTGTGCTACGTTGTCAAAGCTTGCTTATCTTTCGCAGTGCTCCAACTCTGTAAAAGCTAGTTTGCTCGAGTGCACGGAAAGTAGGCGCCCACGACAATGCCACTCGCTCTCGCAGCAGTGCCGGAGTGCTCAACAGTGCAAGCTGCGCTAGCCCTGACAAGGTGTGTTTTTTTTTTACGGAGATCCCTCTACTAATAATCGCCGCCCGATCGGTATGCGCTCCGCCCGTCACGCAGGGAGTGACATAACACAACGAGAAGACAGCAAATGGGTTTACTGTACCTCCCGATTGCCTGTCGTCGAGAGCCGGCACTCCGGGCACGCCGACCCTTGTGGTCGCCCGTCGGTCAGAGCTCACAGTCGGAGTCCGTGTCCAGGCCTGCCGATCGGCCTTCCCATGCCAGCGCTGCGTAGGCTGGCTGTTCCGGGCTATCACTGCCCGAGTCTCGCTGCGGAACCACCCGGGATTGTCGTAGCCCAGGTCATATGGCCGGGGCTCGCCGTTTCCACCGGTTCGGACTTGGAACCTCGCTGGTGGACCGCTCCGGGGTTTGCCATGGGCCAGGCCAGGCAGCCCGGCTCCGACGTTCTTAGCCAGCTCTAGCCTCGGTCAGAACGCACTGTCTTGCGCCAGCTCGTGACTTCTCCGCCGACCGCCTGTCACGTGCCCTCTTCCTCGTCTTTCACTCTCGGCTCCCACAAATGTAGCACAAAATAGTTAACGCAGGTATGCACATATCGCCGGAAAAGACAGCAGCGATGGCATTCACAAACAAACACACGAAAGAATACCCAATTGAATTAGACGGAAAGGAAATTTCATATGTCACAGAACACAATTTCCTAGGCGTCACTCTTGATAGGCAGCTGACCTGGAGCCCCCATGTTAAACGCCTTAAAAAATAAGCTCTCCTCTTTCATTAATATAATCAGGATGATTAGTGGAGCCAAATGCGATGCTCTGTCTCCGCACTCCTTGCCCTTTATAATGCCTTATTTCTCGGACTTTTGCGATGCAGCCTGCCTGCTATGCGTAACATCTCACGTACTCTTCTAAAAGAGCTCGAGAGTATTCAAGCACAAGCTTTTCGCACATGTTTAGGGCTTCCTAAAGGCACTTCTAATTTGGGATCTCTTGCGGAAGCACAAGCGATTTCGCCAGCCGTTCTAAGAACGCAAGAAACGTTAAGAGCCCATCTGCGTCACTAATCTCGTACATATAAGCATCACCTCACAAATATGGTAACAGAGATACCATCATCTGACTTTGCACAAGTTATCACACTCTTGGAGGATTACATGCCAACTTCTTTTGAGGCTGCGGTCGTTCCGACCTATCCACCATGGAGGTACCCTCACTTAGAAATAAGAACGAGTATTCCGGGAATCGCTTCGAAGAAAAAAATGCCTGTCCCCGTGATTACGCAGACAGTGCTGAAATGCATAAACCGAACTTATGCCTCATTTAGACATGTCTTCACCAACGGATCTACAATGTCAGCATCATCAACCCTGGGAGCCTATATTCCGTCTCTGGACGCATGCATACAAGCAAGGTTGAGCCACGTTACGTCGTCAACAGCGTCGGAACTCGCAGCAATTCGAGCAGCTGTTGCTCACGTGGGAGCCGAGAGTCCTAGTTTTGGGGCTATCTTTCTGGACTCTAAAACTGCTCTACACACCCTCTCTACTATGAAGAAATGGTGCCCGAACTTGCAAATCGCACAGGATATTCTGGAAGCAGCTCGCCAAGCTTCATGCAAAGGGCACCAGTTTATTATACAGTGGATTCCTGGTCACTCTGGTATAACCGGAAATGTTATCGCTGACAGAG